AAAACAACTTGGTAACCACAGGAAAAGATTTTATTCTCCACAAAGGTAGTATTAGGGGATGTAAATGGAAAGCAGGGGATTCTAGTTCTGCAATATTAAACCAAAAACAATCTACTGTTTGAAAATTCTGAAATTTTCTTTCAGAAAAATTTGGGGGCCACTGTTATATCAGGTATAACTACAATTGGTGTGTGGTTAACATAGAATAAACACAAAGTTAGGTGAGTCTTGCAAAGATTGGGATAGGATGACGTCATTTTAATCTTTCCCAGTCCTTACACAGAATGGTTTGAGATGATCTCATGACTTCATGAGCAGGAAGAACCAGTCCCTTCAACATAACAGAAACCATTCTGGGGCTTCACGAAAATAATCTCATTCAATCCTTGCAAAGCCTTATGAGCCAAGAAGTATTCTCCCCAGTTTCATATGGGACATAAGACTGAAATAACATTCCCAAGGTCACTGGGAGGGCACAGGAAGTTTGTGGTTCAGGCCTGGGTCTTTTAAGCATCAGTACTTCCCATGACACTGGATTGTCTCTGAAGCAGTCAGACAGCACAAGGACCTCCGCAGTGACAGTGTTTCCACCTGGGCATAACATTTCTCTTTTAAAATAAGCTATGCCTGACTACCCAGGAAAAGGATTCTTTGTTTCTCAAATGATAAGACAAGTCAGCATTTTCTTTCTTTTTTAGTTAACCAATGAATCACTGGGAAGGGATAAAGACAAACCTGGGCCAGTGACTATTAGGCAAGTACTGTTTCCTGGCTGCTTATTATGTGCTAGCACTTATTATGGCATTTCATAGACTCTTCACCACCTCAATTATCTTCATTTTATAAATGACAAAACCAAGCAAAGAGAGGGGACACAGTTTGCTCAAGGTTACAGATCCCCTAAGTGAGCTTGCTCACCCAGGACTCTCTGTCCCCACAGCCAGGACTCTTCACACATAAAGCTGTATTGTCCAGATTACACAAAAAGATTGAGTGAAGGACTAGAAAGGCAACATAAAAAGCAAGGCAAGAGGAAGAAACAGGTGTCGCCACTGCAGATATCTATTACACAATGGGCACATATCAATACATGAAGAAGCTTTTGTGCCCTGGAAAAAGACTAGTTGTGCAATAAGGCATTTTGCTGTGTAAGAAATTCACCACTGCTTCTTATGAGCATGTTTCTTAACAAAATGTAGAAACCAGAAATGCTTAGAGTATGGATTCTGAGAAAACCGACCCAAACTCTGATCATAAGTGAACCAGGCAACAAAACTGAATGAAGTAGGTAGGAAATAAGATAGGAAAACTACTGTGACCTTTAGATTAAGGCTCAGCTCATGGCAAACTATATGAAAGTGAAAAGAAAGTCTTAGAAATACAATGGAATAGAACACGTTAATTTATAATGCTCTGCAGACTATAAATCCCATTACGACAGAGGAGGATACATATTTAAAGAGTTTAAAGGAGGTTAAAAGGAGTCACAAGGTTATAGATAATGAGCTGCTACATGAAGAAGGTTCTCATAGGATGTTGTCCACTGGTAGGAAGATCTAAGGATAACTACAACCAATCCCATGAGCCTATGACTATTTTAAGAACCTAAGAAAACATCCCTAAGACACAAATAGCTACCAAAATAAGTCTTATAAGACTCATCAATTTAGGTCAACACAAAATGCTGCATAGAATCAGAAATCAATTATTATGAGCCTTTTGTAAATTTATCATTAAAATCCATAAGTTCCCAATAAGGAACCAACTGAAAAAAAAATTATCATTATATACAGGTTGAGTGTACCTTACTTAAAATGCTTGTGACTAGAAGTCTTTCAGATTTTATATTCTTTCAGTTTTAGAATATTTGCATATGATAATGAGGTATCTTGGCGATGAGATCCATTTCTAATCAAAAAATTCATCTGTTTCATATATACATTATACATATAGCCAGAAGGTAACTTTACCCCATACTCTTCTTTGTGCACCTGTGTTTTGGCTTTAATTCATTGTATGTGGTCACGTGTAGAATTTCTACTTGTGGCATCATGTTAGCACTCAAAAGTTTTAGATCTTTTTTTTTGTGTGTGGTGCTAGGCATGTGCTCTTCCAATGAGCTTTACTCCCAGCCCTGGACTTTTGGATTAACCTGTACTTGAGAGAAGTGTTTGTCTGCAAGCTCCATGATAAAAAGATGATGTCTCTTCTCTTATGAATACAGTCTCAGAGCCTAGCACAGTTCCTGGAACAAAATATTTGTTCAATGTTTCTGAGTGAATAAATGAACAGTCTAATTCTAGACACAGAGACTATCTCTGCCCAAATCATGTGAATTTGGCATGTACATCATTGCATTTGAGAACAAAGACACAAAACATTAAGGCAGAGCTTTCTCCTTATATCAGAAAATACTAGTATCTCCAGTTTCTGTGATGTTCTCCCAGTATAAATCATAAATGAAATATGTTCACTTCCACTTATCATACCTTACATAGAATTTAGGACACTGAGTTACCATTAATAATGGCCTTCATTATGCTCCGGAAAAAAAATCTTTCTTAGGAACTGTAATTTTGAAAATACTACAAATGAAAACAAAGATGCTGAGGTCAAGATCAAATACCTTCCACTAAGCAACTTAGTAAGACCCTTTCTCAAAATAAAAAATAAAAAGAACTGGGGATGTGGCTCAATGGTTAAGTGTCCCTGGGATTCTGGGTTCAATCTCTGGTATTCAAAAAAAAAAAAAAAATTAAAGGGGCTCAGTGGCAGAGCACCCCGGTATCAAAACAACCAAAAACAACAACAAAACCCCACCATATATATAGAGAACTCCTTGCTATAGGCCCAAATAATGGCATTTTATGGCATAATCTGTCAGGTTTTCATGTAGATTAACAGAGCAACTTTTCCATACTCATTTGTGTCATATCTATTAAACTTGGGAAAAGAGTTGAAACCTGAAAAAATATTTTGATGAGTGGTTAAACTATGGCCTAGAACTATCAGTCACAGAGTTTGGTTAAGTTCTGATGCAGGTATCTTACGTTACACTGTAGCTTCAGGTAAAACAAACCATATTTGGACACTTGGAGAAACTCTGTAAAACATCTGTATCTTCACATATTTATTTTGCAGTACTGAGTATTGAACCCAGGGCCTTGTACATGCTAGGTAAGCACTCAACCACAGAGCTATACTTCTAGCACACGCCTGTATGTTTATTATATGCAAACAACAGTTTATTCTCAAAAAGCAAAGTTTATTTAAGAAATAATGATTTCTGTTTATCAGAATCCTGACTGAGAATGCTTATATTTTCTCTAAATACAAGGTGTAATTAGTTTTTATGAAAAATCAAGTAATAAAATTAAATTATTATATATGACAGTTAATTACTCTTTTGCAGTGAATTTTACTTTTAAATATTAAGGATTAATTATTTCTATTTTACTTATTTACTATACAAAATTTTAATATAAATATTGAAATTCCAGGATCATCACACTTACCTGTACGGCTTGTCAGAGTTATGAATTCGTCTGTGGTTTCTGACACCAACATATGTTGTACTTGTATAATCGCACACATCACATCTATACTGTTTCTGGGTTGAAGACTTACTCCCTAGACAAGGTATTTCAGAGTTTCAAAGATAGGTTTTAATAAGATTCAAATGACAGCATTTACATTCATTCCGTTGTAAATGAATATTTATACACCAGAGAGTACTATCATTTTAATCAAGGTTTTCTTACTGTTTAACAAGTTTGAAGTGGCTTTATAGATTGTGCTGCACCTAGACTATCAGCAGATATAAACTGATCATCATCTGATCTGTACACATAGATAAGGCTGGGCTGGTTTCTGCAAAACCTTATAAAAAATTCTAAAGTATACTGAACTTGCTTCCAGCTGCCCTGCTGGCTGTATAGCAGTTATATTAATCAGAGATCCACTTTGATCAGAAAGGTGTTAAGTCTAATCAGCATTGGATACAGTATCCTAAGGAAACACTGGTTTGAAAATCAGCTGTAATTTATTATAATCCAATATTATAAACTTTAACCACAAGTCATATATAGCAAACTCAATATAAAAAGCCTAAGCTGGGTGTGGTGGCGCAAGCCTATAATCCCAGCTACTTGAGAGGCTAAGGCAGGAGAGGAATGAAAGTTTGGGGCTAGCCTGGACTATATTTTTTCTCACCCTGTGCATTTACAGGTTACAGCTGTCAGCTATCAATTCAACATAAGAAGAAAAGCAACTGCATATTTTGAGGGGCTCTATTAACGTAGAATAATTACATTTAGTAAACTGACACTTTACAGGGACAAAGACTATAAATACACAAGTTCTCTGAAATGCAGGAAATATGGATCCAATGGAAACAGACCATATTACTAACTCATTCTGCAACAATAGGGCTGAGTAATTAAGTGTGAAAATACAAGTTGAATAACTTGATCAAATGAAACTGTTTCCTGAAGATATCTGATGCTTTATTTATTCACTGTCAGCATAAAATCCACAGGCTATTCCTACTCAGAATGCTTTATATTCAGGAACAAAGCAAGCATTTAAGCTCAAGAATCAGGCAGAGCAGGAAGAGCTATGTCCCCCTTGGAAGGAAAAAAGCTTAGGTAAAACACAAGTAACAGGGTGTAAGAGCAAACTTAGTGGTACAAAAGAAAACTTGCAATGAAATTTCAACAAAAAAAATCCTTATGTTATATTTAAACTTTTTAAAATTGAAATTTTCTTTGCCTAATAAATACTGCCAGGCAGAACAAAATATCCTAATTTCCTGGTATAAATCTATAACATTAATACATGTACTAATCATAATTATAATCTAAGTATTGCTCTTAATTGGTAGGTTAAAAACTTGGACTTGATTATAAATGGCACTGTTCCAAATATAGTTAAAAAAAAACTTGAAAAAATGAAGTGTGAAATATTGGATAATGGTTTTGTGTGAAAAATATTACAGATCAATGACAACTAATAAAACTGACAGATGGAAAAACTTAATATAGCACAGAATGAGAGCCTGTGCTACTTCAAGCAAATGTTTCCAATGAAAAAGAAGATTGGATTTAAAGTTCAAAAACTTGGGCTTAGTCCTTGCTCTGCCACTTACTAACAGTATGATTATAGGTAAATTATTTCATCTCTTGAGGTCTCAAGTTTTCTTATCTACAAAACAGAAATACTAGAATCTCATGCATGGTTTAGTAAGTCATGTATTTTTCCTTCACCAAAGTATGTACATTTACTTGCTTCTCTGGGTAGTATCTGCCTTGTTACTGAGCTTTAGATTCTCTGAGGGTAAGGATCTACCCGTTTGGTTTGCACTGAATCCCTAAGGATTGGCAAATTGTGGGTTTCTGAGAAAGGTCAATTTAACTGAATTTCAAGAATAAACACCATGCCAAAGTCTTTGCTTCACAGGGCCACTGATGGATTTTGAAGATATACCCATCAGTCCAGTTCTGACTTCTTCACTGGGCTGGATTCCTCAAGGGCAAAGATGCCCGTCATTGTATGTCCAGTACCTGGCACAACTCTAGAGGGGCATGCCATGCCTTCTGGATGAAGGAATGCCTGAAGTACAATTACACTGGACCTATGTGTTGAAAGTTATGTCCAGAGGTATCGGTGGTATAATAATGGGCAGACTGGGGATCAAAGGAGACATACATCTCCTCTCTTGTTTAATAAGTTGACTAAGTGGTTAAAGAAGTTTTAACAAAATATGACTTGAAAAGTTGTTCTGTCATCTGTCAACCAGATTTCAAAATAGCTAATATTGAATTAGTAAAGTACCTATCCAGGTGGAAGTATGCAGGAAGCTATTGGCAATAAAGAATAGGCAAGGAAGTTTTCAGGGGTAGGAAAGAATGGTAAGCAATTAAAAACTGATTCATTTAACTCTAAGAAAAAGTATAACCCACAAAGAAAAGAAATTGTGAGATGGAATATGGTGGGCAGATGCTAATACTGTAAACTTACAGTTATTTTAATTTTGAACCAATGTTTTATCTTTTTTATTAAAATAGTGACTTCAATCTATGTACCCATTCAGATTTAAATTTTTGTTGCTGGAATACGTATTCTAGCACTGGTATTTAACTGTAGGTGACGCTACTGAGTCATTTCTTCATTAGGGATTTATGGTCCAATCATTTCTAAATGTTTTAATGTCTCCTTTATAGGCGATATGGAAACATAATGAATTAAAATAAAAGGAGGCATTTAGGGCTATTTTATAAAAAGGAAACAAAACTGTTTTAGCTCAGCCATCTATTGCAGAAACAGATGCCATGTCATAAACTCCTTTTGTTTTGGAGAGTTTTACAGGAATGACATCTGTTTGACAAGAGAATTTTGGTACTACAGTGGTGTCAAAATCAGTTCTTTCAGAAACATTGTAGAATCAGTTATGCTTTCTGGGGTATAATTTAATGCAACATTATGGTAAAACATTTCACTCTGCAGTTGTTTCTAACTTTAATTCTTAGGAAATCTAAAAAGGAAAGTCACCCCAATATGTTTTATTTCCCATAAACACTATGTACCACACTTGAGACATTTAAAGTATATCAATTTAAGTGAGCGGATGCAAGGAAGTATAGCTTATTACACTTTATCCCTAATTCTCCGGATGTGGCATCCGCCTTTTCATGGAACTCTAATTAAATCTTTTGATTCTAATATTCCTATTACCAGAAACTTGGCTGACTGGTACCTAACTAGTACATAATGTTTGTGTGTGTTTTTAAACAATGCAGATGAAATCTGGCAGTATACTTAGAGAAGAATAAGATCACAGCAGGAAGCCTCAGTTGAAAATTTGAGGTGGGGGCCTACCATCTGCAAAAGTTATGTTTGCTGTAGGTCAACTGATGCTGGGAGAGGGGGAGGCTTCTTTCTATGCTGCAGTTTCTCTGGCTTGCTGATGTCACCTTCTGAAGGTCTATGCTATAGCTTGGCTTTTACTGGAGAGCATAAATTTTAACTGAAATATCTACCTGCACAATTTAAGTTGAGTCCTTACTAATCTAGCCCTACTTATCCAGGATCTAGTAATAATTTACTGCATTTAGTGCATGAAATTTTCTTAGGAGCAAAGGTAACAATCACTCACATCCACAGTATAAAAATAGAGGATAATATATGCTTTAGTCCTGAAAATAACCTATGTGACAAGTAAGGATATTTTTTACTGCATATACTAGTCATTGCAGCCGGTATTTAAAAATGCACAGATACCTTCCTGAACACATTTTCCATCAGTTGTATCACTGGAAATTCTTGGCTCATTAGAAGCTGCTATTGACAAGGTGTCTGGAAGGCTGTGCTGTTCTCTCTCATGATTCCTCAGCTGACTCTAAAAAGTTGAGAGAAATTAATATGTAAGTTTTCAATAAAAATACACATCCAATTACTAGGAGGCTGTGGAAGAAGCAGCTAATTGCTTTCATGGCCTCCTACTGAGAACATATTACCAATATTTTTAAATAAAATCTGCTAAAAGACCATTTGATTGACACATTTCACAATTTATAGAAAGAAATTCATCAGAAGGGTCACAATCTCATCACAAAAGGCAGCTCCTCTTTTTATACTCTCTGAAAGGAAGTTACCAATTCTTAAGAGGTGTTTATGTATAACATATACACATACTGGTAGGCCCAGAGCTGGCAGGAGCAGAGTGCTCAGGATAATGCAACACTTCTACAAAAATTAATTCAATCAGTAACCACTAAACTTTATGCTAATTTCTGTCTTTAAACATCAAGCAGATGCATGAGAGGACCTAATTAGAACTGCTCCTCCAATGATATCCTCTTCTATTTCTACTCCACAAATCAAGAGTACAGCAGCAGCGAAAAAAAAAAAAAAAACAAACTTCCAGAACTTGCCTTTATAGTCTACTTGGATATTCTCCTTGGAATTTCATAAGGGTAATTCAAGCAGCTGGATCTCTCAACATTTTTATTTTTGATTACCTTTCTTTTAACCACCAACTCTGGGTGATCTGACAGGAAAAGTATACCTTCAGTTAGCCAATTAAGATATATTTTTAATTTTTACCAAATTTTCAGAGATTGAAGAAATTCTAAACCAATGATTGATTCAATGGATGCACATTTTCTTTATAAAAGAATGAGGAGCATTTCATACTGGCTCAACAATAAGATGAAAATCAGGCAGTATAAATAACCCTTGAAAGTTCCTTAAACTGCCCATTAAACATAGAGTATGTGACTTTATTTCTACCAGACTCTCTTTTAATAAGTCTAATACAGTCCATTTTCCCTTTTGCAATGATATAAATCATTGTTCATTGTATAGCAGCTAATATGACTGACTTGCATTTGGGGGCCATGTAAGATGAGAAATACACATTTTTCTGGGGTTAAGCAAGTCAAATGTGTACGTAATGTCAATCCACTGTATATACATTCCCTTGCAAATGAAAATCAACACTTTAAAAAGATATGCACATTAAAACAATGAAGTAGTAAATACAAATACAAAGCAGGCAGTAAAATGGGAAATGAATTCTGGAGTGGAAACTATAAAGGCCTGGATTTCAGACCCAACTTTAATAATATTTAGCTGGGATCCCCGGGGCAAATTATTAAACTTTTCTAGAACTCATTTTCCTTTTCTATAAGATGAGGTGGCTGGACTAAATTAAGAAAGTTCCTTCCTCACTCTAAAATTCTAAAATCTTCTGAAAGATTTCACTAACCAAGGCTTACCTTATAATGAAAGGATTCTTCACATTGTTTACATTGGTATATTCTTGTTTTACAGTGGTTGATCATGTGGCTCTCCAAATCTTTGCTGTTGTCAGCTATGTGCTCACAAATAGGACACTGATATGGCTGTCTCTGTCGATGAACTCGTAGATGCTGCTTGATGTAACCCTTATTACCACTTGTATAGTGACATAGGCGACAACGGTAAGGCCGTTCAGCATTAGGGATATATTCTACCACATTAGTTCCCAACAAACTTGTATCACTGTTGGGTTGGCACTGGGCATTGTCCTGCAACTCTTTCAAAATGTCATCATCTGAAGCATTTTGATCTGTCCTTTCTCTCAATTTTTCAATTACAGTAAGTAGGGACATGCTGATGCCTGTCTTAACTTGTCCATCTGACAATTCCTGTCTACACTCTGGAAGTGCTACCAAGGTAGAGTTGCTCTGGTTAAAACTAGATAAGCCATCTGAAGAGTTTTTAAGCGGTGACATCATTTTTGAATATGCTGCCAATGGATTATCTACTTGCTTTTGTCCAGTATCTGGATCTAAGAGGTTTATATCCCCATAATGTCCAAGATTGGCTCTTGTTAGTTCTACAGCTCGTATAGGCATTGTGACAAGGGCTTCTGCAGCTAATGAATGTAGTCTAAGGGACTCAGAATTTGTCCTTCTTCGGCCAGGTGGGGCATTTTCATCAGTAGCTAAGCCTTTACTTATTAACTCATTGTCTTTCTTTTCTGGATTGCTCCAGCCTATGATCAACCCCCCAATGTCAACAGTACATTTGTCAGCATGATAAATGTCATCAGTTTCTCCACAGCCAGTCTGGGTTTCTGTTGGGTTCAAGTTTTTCCCTTCTTCAATTTCAGTATTCATGAGGAAATGTTTCTGTGAAAGTGTTTCTTCTGCACTTGGCAAACGCTCCACTATCACATTAACATGACCTTTCTTATTTGGGCTACTGCTGATGATTTTCTGTGCCGACGAAAGTAGGCTATCAGCAATCAGATTCTCCTCTGAATCAGAGATCACCTCTAGCATTTCTTCTTCATTAGGGTCAAGGGTAACTGACTGACTTAGGTCTACGCCCCCTTCTGCACTATGTTCTAAAGGAGATGAAGATGACGACAACGGTTCTGAGCTGCAAATTTGCACTTGTACCGATGGTCCATTGTGGATACTCAGTTCACTGTCTCCAATAGCAATGACTACTGCATCAACCCCACCTGGTGCAGCAGATACTGAAGAATCCAGCAAGCCAAGAGGCTCATTTTCATTTTCAAAGATTGGATAGGAACAGTCAACTTCCCCTGCATGTTTCCAAGCATGTGTTTTCAACATTCTCTGCTGGCCACAAGTATAACTACAAAACAAGCATCGATACATGCCATATTGTTCATATGCATACCATTTCCTCCTACCCATTTCAGTCACGGATGAAGTTTGTACAGTATGAGTTTGCGAACTATCCACATTTATTGGGATGTCAGGAATGGTTTCATTATTTCTTTCAGTGGTTCTTGGACATGAGGAGTTGGAGGGACTTATGCACTGTTGGGCTTTAGACTGGATGTGACTATTGGCTTCATTTTCATGGTCATTTACCACATGAGCTTCAAGCTCCTCTTGGCTTTTGGATGTAATATGGCACTCTGAGCACATTAATATTACCTCATTCTGCTGACCATGCTGCTTGATATGGTCTTTTAACACAGAAAAAGAGGATGACAGAAACTTACAAAGGCTACACTGGTAAGACATTGCCTTCCCATCATTCTGGGCAAGAGAGTCAGGTGTGAAATTTGCTTGTGACATCTCAGCCTTTCTAATGTCAGCAGCAGGTGACTGGGTTACTTTTGCTGGAATCTCACAAAGTTCTTGGGTTTCAAGACAGCGTGCTGTAGTATTTGAACGTGAGCGTTTTTTCCCAATCAGAAGACATTTTTGTGACTTTTCATGCTCCACTATCTTGCTTAACTTCTGTATAACATGAATTAATGGATCTGCTTTAGCTTTTCTTTGCTCATTGATTTCTAATGAAGGAGTGATGATACCTTCAGCCGTCAATATAGTTTCTTGTTCCCCTGTATCTGGCACTAACATGGCAATACTGCTTCTGTCTTCCATATCTAGAAGGATAACATACAAGAGTAAGAAATACCAGGTACAGGATAATTACAGGTATGTAATTCAGGAGATACATGCCAATTTTGGTGTCTAAGGTAATCTAAATATTTTCTAAGCTGGGAGTTCCACATCAATGTAACTAGCTGTCTCCAACACAGAGTTAAAATGCTTAGAATTCCACTTTGGAATATAACCTCTCACCAAACTTGATGATGAAGATCTTGCCATCCTTTACATATTTCTCTGGAAATAACTTTAATAACCTTTATTTCCTTTTTTCTTCATCATGTTTGCCTTCGACATCAAGTTGGACCCAATCAGTTCTCTGTCCCTTTATGTACAATGCCCAAAACAAAAATAACACAGCCATTCTCAGAACCTGTGGAACCACCTCAAGTTACTGTGAAATGTCACTCTTTTGAGTCATATGTTTCCTGAGAAACTATTTCTTAAATCAAAGTGTAGCTATAGACTTTTTTACTAAAATCATAATTTTTCCCCTCCTAAATCTTTGAAATTATAAAAAAAGCATCATGTAATAAAAGACACAGTGAATTTTGAGAAGTACTATACAAATAAAACTAAATAAAAGCAATAACCCAGTTCCTTCTTTTACTTCCTTTGATTTATCATCCTGAAGATAAACCACAAATTATGCTGTGGTTTTTTTTCTAGAGGTTATATTAGTGGCCAACTATTACTCATACCCACATGCATATTCTTTTTCCTGAAAGGGAAAGGGCCATCAGAGAAGGAAAAAGTTAATATTCCAGTTGTGCTTCAGGTCCAGAAATGAACAGAGTCCTTCAAAGAGCTTATCCGTAGGTCTATGACCTCGGAAGCCTCTAAACATAAAATGCTCATAAATTTTTCTGCCTAAGACTCAAATACTCTTTATATTTCCTGGCAGCACTTTCATTTCAAACATTTCCTTTGGCTTAAAGTGAGACTAATTTGTTGACTTGGATCACATTTTTAAGTTTAGGCTTTTTTCCAGCAACAAGTTTTGTTTTTCCACATTTAGGTGCATTCTGGAATCTTACTCACAACATACAACAAATGCCAGCAAAATTTTTAGTGGCACTAGCTATAGACCAAAGACCATGCTATTCTTAAACTTTAGTACAGACTTTGAGTTCTTATTTTAGGTAGTGAATCATGGCTCTTCTTCCCCACATGGCTGAATCAACATATAAAGGTCTTTCAGCCCCTTGCCAGGATCATACCTAACCCATCCTTCTAGACGTCTAACCAGCTTCAGTACTAGTTTGCCCATATCCACTTTGGCAGCAATTGCAGCTTTCCCTCTTAATTTCTGTTCTTTCTGGCATACCAGTTTTCTATATCTAGGTCCACATCAGGCAAAAATGCAAACATTTTACTCTTGGCTTCTTTAGTATTCCTTCTTTCCTCCTTGCTAATACTCTACTCTATGAAATCAGCTTTCTTCTTTTCAGGGATTGCTTATAATCTGCCTCACAGCAGGGAGTGCATTTCACCAAGGGTAACACTGACAGTGATCCCCTTCCCAAAGGCCAGTGGGCCTTCAGCTACTCTCTCCCCAAACAACTTCTCAAAAGAATAAGTTTCTTTTTATCTTTCGTAGAAAAAACAAGTCTTTTTAGATTTCTGCTCAATCTTAAGTCACTAAAGAGGAGAACAATGGGGGAACAATAGTTTCTTTGGAAAAACCCTTTGCCACTTCCTAAATCACTTTACTGCCTTAGAAATGCACATTTTTAGGCCAAGGGGAATTTTGGCTCTTCATGTGACCACTGATTTATTTTTTGGACCATTAACTTAAAGCTATATTTTTTGTCAGTTCAATGGTTTCATGCAGTTACACAATATGTTTAATAATAGGAATCCCCAAACATTCAGTATCTTGGACAAGATATGGCTCACCACGGTAGACCAAAGGTCTCCTCCCTTGAAATGTAACATCCACAGAGGCTGATTGATAATCCGGAGGTTAAAAGTGAATGTTTGCTCAATAGACTTGGTACACCCATAGTTACAAAGGTGACTCAGTTACTACACTTCTACTTGATGACATAATAGGAAGGATACAGAGCAATGCAAATTGTTCCCCAAGGATATTTCAGTGTGATCCTTGGGGAAAAAAAAACAAAAGGAAAATAAAGAGGAGGAGGAGTTCATCTAATCTCAAGTCTAATACAAAAGAATCTGACAAAACACTTACATTTTTAAAGCTATGTCTGCTCAGGCATTAGGAGCTAATGGAAATTTGCAGCAGATGCTCCAATTTTCCCTGAACATTTATGTAAGTATCTCATTTTAGATGCTGCATACATTTGGGGAAAAGTACAGTAATGGCAGCTATAAAATAGATATGACAACATAAAATACATCAGGAAACACCTGAGAAACCAGTTTGGGTCCACGTGTAAAATTAATACACAAGTCAAAACTCATCAAGACAAAAGTTGTTAAAAAAAAAAAAAGGCAAAACAGCTCATAATAAAGTATACACAGAGGGGACATTACCTTAAAGCTGACCCTCCAAATTTTGACAAAAATTTTACTTAGACTACTCATGCAATCACATCTATATCTACCCATCTATATATAGAACACATCAAACAAAGTAAAATTTATTAGAATAAAAGAGATGAAAATAAGGAGTATATGTACAATCCCAGTGAAAACAATGACTATAATATGGATCACTTGAATACTATCCATGAACTCTAAGAGATGGACTAAACACAACCTAAAAAAATTACCTGGATAGTGGAGGGGTGGGGAAGGTGGGGACAAAATAAAAATGACAACATCTGAGAGTGAAGTTGTGTGATGAGTGCCCAGAAGTTCAATATACTATTCTTTCCACTTGGGTGAATATCTCCATTTTTCATAATATAAAGTTATTAAAAAAAAAAAAAAGTTACATGCAAAGCCCAACACAAAGTAGCAGGAAAAATGGAAACATTTGAAATTCATAGTACTCACAGTTTTAAACCAAACTGAGTGCATAAGACACTGAAAAGTTAAAAAGAATTAAGTAACAGCTTTTGAATGATGTAATAATACACAGAGTAAAACTGACAGAGGGCAACAGTTAACAGCTAAATCCTAAGAGAGACAGAAGAGCTCCCCTGGGCTAGGAAGGTATGCAAAAGGCTTTTTGAAGAGGTAAGAGGTACACTGGATCCCAAAGGATGGACACTGTGCAAGACATCATCCATTTGCCCTGTATCCCCCTCTCCAATCTGCATTTCGCCCAGGAGAGATTCAATCATTAGTCTTCCCTGACCTCTAGTTTCTAGTTGAATTCTGCCAATGGAGAGTCTTACAGATCTAAGGGATACAGAAGAATGAGAACAGGATATTCACTGTCCTAGATCCCTGCCTCTAAGTTGTCCTGTCGGACTGTGTTCCTCAAAATAGCCACTTCTCTCCAGATAGGCTGCTCCATAAGATTCTGCTTCTGGTTCTGGGGCCTCTCCCTTCTCCTGATGCAGCTAGGCTCCCAATAACTGTTTTATCCCTGTGCTCTGCCTACATAATTCCAACACTTTTATTAATAGTATCTTTGTAAATATACCCTTCTTGCATTAATCTAATTTGAATTTGTCATTTTCTTCCTTGGAATATTTCTGATACAAGGATAAGATTGACAAGAAAGGCAGCCATAACATTATTATATTTTTAGAAGTGAGACTAAGCATGCTATCTAAGGGTTAGCAAAAAAGATCAAAATGGCTGGATAGGAAGGTTCACTCTGAGGACAGAATACTAGAGGCGTAAGCAAAACCCATTGCTTGTTTGAAATCATTAGAAATGACATTAGATCAAATATATCAAACTGTTACAAATAAACAAAAATTGCATCCCACACCAGAAAAGTTCTATAACCTTTTCCAAGGAGTCTCTTAAATCTTTCTTTGACAATAGTAATTCTCAGGCAGAAGCTTAGAATTAATGTCTTACCCAAGAAAAGTTAAGAGCTAAATTATTTCCTTATAATTTGCTGTTTGGTTTATTTGTGTTTCTAATTAGTTCCTTTTAGTTATAGTAGTACAGTTATCACAAGTCAAATCAAGTTGAACAATTCATGTGGGCCTGGAGAAAAGGCTGTAATTTTCTGTGTATATATAAAAACAGTACAATATGATATAAAGAGTCTTCTCTTTCACACTCAGAATTTGTTCTTTTCCAACTAGAGAAAACATTGTGCAACAGAAATAAAAGCCAATTCCCCATTTTTTTCAGAGTCTCATAAATTAAAAATATAAAACATTTGTTTTGCTCCAGACAAAAGGAAATAGGGGACAAAAGCTCATGTGTCCCTTCTCTATAGTACCCTTAAGCAAGTCACTATCTCTGTGGGTTTTAGATTATTCAGATATAAAACAAGAGGGTGGAACTGGAGAGACTTTCCGGTCCCTGAACTATAAACTGCTTATAAAGAGTTACTGGGAAACTGATTAAACTTTATAGGTTTACCTTACTAATGTCAGCTATAATTTATATGACTTAAAATCTCCTTAACACAATGTAATTATTAATTGCCACTTTGAAAAAAAACAGAGTATAAATATCACAAGTACATGAATTTCATAGTCTAGAATTCTTAGCTGGCAGGTAGCCTGAGAGAATATTCTAATTTGGCAGCTGCAATTAAGACATAAGGTCTAACTAATATTAACCAACATTCAGATTTACTATGATTTGTTGAGTACCTATATTGTGCCAAGCATAGTGCTGGAGACTATTATAAAAATGATTAAGAGGAAATTCTTGTCCTTGAGGTACAAGTCCAGGGAGTAGTGCCTATGTAGATTTTTCTGTGATACTCATGTAATTCCTGGTAATATTAGCCTTTTTTTTTTTTTTTTGCAGATGAAGAACTTCAAAGATGTAAAGTAATACATCTGAGGCTCATAGATATAAAGTAACAAACGGTTTAGGAACTGGAAGAACTGGAATACAGCTGAGTATGGCAGTACATGCCTGTAATTCCAACAGCAAGGGAGGCTGAGGCAGGAGGATTGCAAGTTCAAAGCCAGTCTTAGCAACTTAACAAGACCGTGTCTCAAAATAAAAAGCATATGTATTTTAAAAAAGAGCTGGGGATGTGGCTCAGTGGTTAAGTACATCTGGGTTCAATCCCTGGTACCACTCCTTCTCTCCCCCCAAAAAAAGAGAAAGAAAGAAAAAGAAAGATCTGGAATCCAGGCAAGACAATCTTATTCTAAAACCATGCTTTCCCTAATACAAGTTTCCTCTCAACTTTCAGTGAGAACATAAATGCATAAAGTTATTCATACTGAAGAATAACAGCCTCTCACAGTTAGGCTGCAAACATGTTAATGTATTTGATCCTCGTAACTCTTTGGGACAGGCTAGGTGGTGTTATACAATTTTATAAATATGGAAACTCGGTGAGGTTTAAGTGACTTACCCAAGGTTACATGGTTGTTAAGTGGCAGAGCCAGTGTCTTTCAAATCAATTTCTGAAATTAATACAGTCCCTTGGATCAATCTTCAAAATCCAGCTGTGGCCAAGAATGAAAGTATACAGTATCAAACATTTCTCTTTTTTGGTGAAACAAAGTAATGATTAATTTGGGCAGTGAAAAATTTTCCAATACTCCATGTCAAAAAAGAAATTTAGAATAATATTCATGCAATCTGATTATGTGATGCAAATTTACATAATTCAACAAGTAGACTTGAGGATTTTTCAGAAGTTAGAAAAAAAATAGCTCGGGAAACTTCTCCCAATTAACTGTATATTTCCTTTTACCTCAGACTGTATGTAATTGACTTCAACACACTGCTGGTCTTACAGACATCAATATGGAATAATAAGTTTCATATTGCTATTTTAACCTTAACCAAAAAATAAAATCTAAAGGATGAGTACGCAAATTTTACAAGCACAGAGGGCAGAATGGCAGCATGAAAAGATGACACAACGGCTTGACCTATATAGGTCTTTCTAATGTCATTTCCTGCCCTGGTCCTACATTTCTTTGCTATTGCTTCTTATGCTAGCTGGTATGAACCTAAGGGTCAAAGAATTATTTTGGGTTTCATCTAAAAAGCGACTAATTTATTGATTATACTTAAATAAAATAGTTCACTGCTGGGGAGAAAACATGTTTTCAGGCCTCCTCTGAAGTTAATTTTTAACGAGTTACTATGATAAAAAAATGAAGGGCCAGACTTTCTCCTTTAATCAAACACAACCCATTCACTGAGTCAGAGTGGAGTACTTAAGAAAGTACAAACTCAAGGAGGTGATAAATCTGGTAATTGCCTGATAAGAGCATTGTAGATGAATAGCGAATTTACAGCCCACAGCAGGAACTAAAAAGACAGCCTTCGGGTTGGGAGGGTCCACTCTGCCCAATTAATCGTCCAGGCCTTCCACACAAACCATGCACTCCGAATGCCCCCAGGTCTTAAAAAGGTGGACACTTTCCCCAATGATCTGGAAAGATCCTTCCATAGGGATGATAAGTGCGAAAGGCCAGAACTGCTGTTTCTGTACTAGGCTGTTATTACCCCATGCAGTGCCCAAAGGGCTGAGGCGATTGGGGTTGAGAAAAGTAATCGAGAGATGCGGCAAGAACAGTAGTTAGCTCCATCCTGGCTGGCTTAAGCGATATTACATTTGCACAGGGAAAGAAGCAACGCCTCAGAAAGGCCTGCCCGGGGGCGCCAAGCTGGAGACAGTATGCGGGCAGCGGCAGGTTCCCCCACCCCCAGCTGCAGGGCAAGGCCGGGGTCTCCGCAGGCCTTCCTGTGGACGGCACAGAGGACAGAAAGGGGACATGGAACTTGAGCCATGTGGCAAGCACCAGGAGGGTGTCAGCCGGCTGAGGAGGAAGCGGAGGCCGGTAGAGGCCTGAGGGGAGGATGCACATGGCCGGCGGCGGCGCTAACAGCGAGCGGAGGGGCGGCCCCGGGGCGCCGTACCTGCGGTCGGGCGGCGGCTGCTGCTTCCGCGAGCCTCTTTTGGCCGGCCAGGGCCCTGCCGTGCCCTTGCCCGCGTCCTCGCCCACCTCTCTCCCGGCTCTTTTCCCTCTTTTCCCCCACTTTCCCCCTCCTCATCCGGAGCTCCAAGATGGCGGCGCTGAGGCCAGATCACGTGAGCCGCGGGCAGGTCAGGTGACCCGAGTGGCGGGCGAAGGGGCGGGGCAACGGCCAGGCCCCGCCCTCTGCCGCCCAGGGCCGCAAGGGCCAACCAGGTTATCCGAGCGCAAAGGAGGGTATCCACCTGGTTCTCTGCTGCTTCCGGAACGGCGGCGGGTTCCGCCGGCGTTGTCCTGTTCTCAGGCCCCCTGCCCTCCTCTATCTGAAGCTCTCTAGGTCTAGAAGTCGATGCCTATACACTTCGGAGCCTTCCCACGTGGCCTAGATCTACTGTGGGCTAACTTTATCACCCCACCCTCCCCTTAATTGGCATTCAACCATGGGCATTGACATTCTTTTCACCCCTGTGACCGTGGATTTGTGTTGTTTCTTCTGGTTGGGCTATACTTATTGAGATGTTCTTGGCTAAAATATAGAGGTCCTGGCTAGGTCTGAGACTTTAATTCAGGTGTGCCTGCCGAGGGACAAGCCCGGGGAAATCTGTTTGCTTCAGAGAATGTTCCAGGGTTGTAGGATCGGAATTGATAATCTCTGATCTAGTAACCCAACCTTAGCTTTCTGAGGGCATGATAGCGTTTGTCATTTGGATCCATTTCAAGAAAAACCATGGTGTAAACAGTGTTGTTGGGGTCCCCCTGCTCACATGATAACAAGAGGGAAGCATTCCACCCAACTTCACCAAGGGTACTAGGCAGTTTTGGTGAATTAGGAGTTATACAGGCTGAATTCTTGGGTCACAGACACAGGGAGGGGAGTAAACTGAAGATTCTGCTCACAGCAATGGACTGGACTTGTTTGTTGAGATGTCTTTTGAATACTTCCTGATATATTTAGAGGCCTTTGTGAGCAGGATGGGCTGTCAAGTGAGTACATAGGGAGAAGACCCCAAATACACAAAATAATAAAATTTATAGTCATTGTTTACATAGGTCAATAATTTAACTTACTGAATCTCAAGATACAAATACACCTGAATTTGGGTGTTGGGAAACCCACAAATGAAAGAAAGTAAATATGTCTTTGTCTGAAGTTCCAGGGATCATTTCTGGTATACACCGGCTATTTTGCTTTGTTTCTCTTCCAGCACGTGCCGAGATGAACTTTCTGTTCCTCTTGTATTTTGAAGGTGTGACCTGTGATTGGTATGGGCTAATGAACTGTATGTGGAAGTGAGGGGCATCACCCCCATACTGGAGCTTTTTTTTTTTTTTAATCGGTGTACTCCTTTCTATCTGGTTTGGAAATTGACAATATCACTCTGTCACACTGTTTCTTAGAATGATGGTGATGAGCTGAACTCCCAGCTGATCAATGATAAGATACCTTGGGTAAGCAAGTCACTGATTGTTACAGCAGCATGGCACAGCTATTGCTAGCATTCTCCACTCCAGGGAAGTAACTGGAAAAGGCAGAGCGTTACAGGCAGAAAGGAATGTTAACAGAAGAATTAGGAGACAAGGTATAAGAAGCAGAATCTGATAGAAAAAACTAGACAATTTTTAAAAGCCTCAGTATTTTTTTTTTCCTGCAAAAGAACTCTCCAAAAAAAAAAAAATCACCGTAAACATTTTTAAGTCAGAGGAATGAAGAAACATTCAGGTGTAGTTCAATTGAACTTGTGGACGTCTCATCTAAACTCTTCCATCTGCCACAGAACGTTATTTATCATGATTTAATTAACCAATCATAGTAAGATTTAATGTTACAGATAGGAAACTTGCTTACTTGGTTATCTATTACCTATTCAGTGGAATCTGATTCTGTTTCCAGATGAGAGATGACCCAGATAACTGAATCCCTGTCTCCATACACCTCATTATTCTACTTTGGGGCCATTAATTAGTTGATAAGGTTAAAGGTTTCACTTCTTCTACAAGTATCATGGGTCTGTATCTCCTAAAGTAGCCAGACAGTCTGATAATACATATTGCTTTACAACTTAAACCAGAGCTCTGTTTAAATTTTGGGAACACGAAGGACAGCACAGTAAGTAAGTTGCAAGGTGATAACTGGCCATAAACTGAATGGGTCACTAAACCAGTTGAAACTTAAGGGAGAGCTACCTGTTTCCAGCCCTCATACTTATGAAGGACACCTTGTCTTCAGTGTAAGAAGATTAGATGAGATTTCTTTGAAGAGATTAATCATGTAAGTCTTTGGCATAGCACAGAAAATTGGATGAGACATGTAGCCTGTATTTCTTTTAGCAGTAATTTTTATCATGACCTTTAAAAAATATACTGCCTTAAAAAAAAAAAGGAAAGATGGAGGAAGGGTTAGAGGAGACAGGTAGGCTGCTAAAAGAGAAAAGGACATAGTAGTGTGAGCTGCAAAAATAAATTCAAAAATTATTCCAGACTTTGCTATTTAGCTCCCGTGGGGACTGTGAGCAGGTGGATTCCATCTTTCTGATGTTTTCACCTTGCTTGTAAAACAAGAAGTACCATTTATCCTTTTTTTTTTTTTTAAAGCATCAACTATCTTGTATACAGAAGTACAGAGTTTAATTATAGGAGTTCTTTGGGTTCAAAATGGGACTTAGTTATTAAAAATAATAGCAAGACCTGATTTTATTAATGAATGAAAAGATTGCTTGATATAAGTCAGAAGGAATGTAAGATTAAAAGACATGATATATTATTATATATACAGCTGTCAGCAATAAATTAACATTAACTCTGGATTCTGTACACTTTGCATCCTGAATATACACCTAGAAATACTTCATAATTATAGTTCAGGTCTCAAGAATCATCATAAATTATCCATCTGTCATTCATTCCCTGCTAAAAGCCACAGACCTAGCAGCATATTGACATCTAAAATCTCTAGTGCTACGAGGCACACATACAAATTTATTCCTTATTGAAGGCCCGGATAAACCAGAAGAATACACAGCAACACACCAACCCTCTAGGACAAGGAATAAGAGGATAAAGAGCATAAAACTCGATTGTGAGAATTGGGGTTTGCTCTAACAGATATCAGCTTGTGTAAATTTCAGCCCTGTTGTTTTGAGACTGAGATACTAACTGGTTTGGAAAAAGCCCACAAAAGAGCTTGGACAGCCCTGCAATCAAGGTCACGGATGGAATTCAGTCTGAAATTCTCCTAGCCTTGGGGCTCTGCCTTATGCTCAGGACCTGGGCATGAGGACAAGAATCAATGGTGGTGACATCTAGTGGCATATCTGGAATGTGCAGTCAAACCGCAAAGCACTCCAGTGGGAAGTGGGACATTTGCCTTGTCCAGCTAACCCAGGCGTGACCCCGAGGTCCCTGAATCAGTCTGAATTTGGTTTCTGGCAGAGATTCCCTGAATGCATGTTGATTTATGGTTGAGATCCAGGAAATGCAGCAGCAGGCTGGGAGTGGAGGTGGAGAAGGGCTGCTTTTGGGGACGACAGGAGGCTCCTTTCAGTCTAGTCTGCATATGCCACAGACTTGTGCTGCAGCAAGCGTGGCTCAGCGGAGCTGCGCGATGGAGCAGGGAGCTTGCCTCCGCCAGACTGTCTCTCTGCTTCAACGCAGACTGGTTATTGGAACGCTCAGGCAATTTTCAGTCGTCTTTGTCAATAAAACCAGTCTCTTCTCTGCAAGGGGAATGAAAATGAGATTCGGAGGCCTCCAAAGGGCTCTCTTCTTTTGCCACTTTATCTGCCCAGGATCCAGGTAGTAGCTCAGCTGAGATGGGTGGTAGCTATTTGCTATGCCCCAAACCCTGTTGACAGGTAATACCCCCTGCTTCTGAAAAAGACAATCTGATTGTAATAGGATACTGTTAAATTCTCCCCAGAGAAGAAGCAGTTTCCTTAAAGCAGTGACCTTTATTGATGAGAAGGTCCAAGGAAGAAAATGAAAAGAAGAAGAAGATGATGAAGAAAGACACTAAGAGCAGAAGTAACTGCTAATCAAACCCAGAGAGCCTACCTAAAGGGTAACCACGTGGCTTAAAAATATGTCATTTGTTATTTTGACATCTCGTCTTTAGGTGATAGACTAGGAGGAGCCACTTAAATCATCGTCAGTGGGACTAGAGTACCACTTCTTGCTTTTAAAGGTATCAGGAAATGGATAGATAATAAGAGATAGCAAATAGTCTTGGAAGGTAGAGGACCTTCTTTGGTCTTCCACCTTTGAGTTTCTCAGATACCATGGGAGACCAAGCACAGGGAACATTGTATAGTTCTTGACCTCTTGGGATTTTTTTTTTTTTTTTTACTAATAAAGAAACATGAATGAGAAAGAGAAAAAGAAGGTGAGATGCATGTAGTACCTACAGAAAGTCCTCACTGCAACATTCATGCCCTTTGGGACCTCATTATAAGCTCCATCAAGCTACAAGGCCAGAGGACCCTGCTGGAAGTGGCATTTCAGTGTCAGGTATGAGTAGGGCTGTGGGGTGCAAGGAACCTTTATGGGCAGGTGATTAGGCTTCTGTGTCATCTACCCCACTTGTACCCTTCTCTTTCATCTCACACCTTTGGGTCACATGCAGGGAGACACGTATGGTCAGCCAGTGGTAGGAAGAAGCCTGAGAAAAGCTCAAGAATGGGTCAGCTTGGAAGAAAACGGACCAATAAGAATGAAGGTGTGAAGTGAGAGTGGACATAGGGCATCTATCTGCATAGTGGAGACCCTTCTGGAAGGCTTGAAGTGGCATGTTGGAGCTGGGACTGGACCAGGCAGAGATAGGCAGTGAGCTCCGTGGAGGGCCCTGTGCTAGGGGCCCTACGTGCATTATTTCACACATCTTGGTGCACTTAGCTCTGCTGTCATTAATTACCAGTGCAATCACTGCATTAACATCTTCCCAGTAGGCCCAGGGAGCTTGTCAGTCTTACTCATTGATATTCCCCTTGGCCTAGAACAGGGTCCAGAATGCAGCTACATTCAGTAAATATTTGGTGAGTGAATGAAAAAGTGATTTCATTTAGCAGACAAGCTCCCAGGTAGGTATTTAATTGGGGAATCTACTCAAG